AAATTATAAACAGCAATCAATACATCATTAAATCTAAATAGAGTCATACAATCATAGCGTAGGCACATTAATGAATATGCCTGCAAACATTTTAAATTAAGTTATTTATTGTTATTTCATTATTGAATTAAGCTCTCAATCTAGAGTTAAACAGTAGTGAAAATGTAACAGGCCACATATGACCAACAATATTCAAAAACTACCCAAGAAAACCAAACTGTACAACTTCATAAACAAAAAACAGTCATTTGATGTTTACTGATAATTAAGAAGCTCATTAACAATGGGATCTCTCAGTGTACAGCCTTGGATGTGCATACACTGTTTGGATATTCATGCTAGACATTTTTAGTAGTATTATTATCATCATTATTATTGATTTTTCAGGCATTCAGTTGGAGCACAAAAGCTGAGCAGTCCTCAGTAAAACCAAGGCTGAAGTTAAACAGGCCTGAATGAAACGTGGCAACATAAACGCAAAATGAACTACGTGTATGAATTAATAAATAAACAACAAAACGAATAAAGGTCGATAAAAGTTAATTGTGGATCATTTAAAGGCAGTAGTTGAGGGTTTGTTTGTTTTTTTAACCTGTAATTACCACGTCATTGAGTTTCAGCTAACATGCAGCTAACAGTTAGCTAAAGACACATAAAAATAACCACCAACATCATCATCAAGCTGCTTGGGTCTGCTGCTTTGTGTTCTATGCTTAACCCGCTCTGAGCACCGTTAACCTTTCCACCACCTCGTGAGTCACCAGTAAAACAAAACCACATATCAATGGCTTCCTTACAATAACAACAACACAGCGGTGTCATTCAAAGAATCTGGAGCATAAAAGCTGGTGCATTAAACGCATTTCAGGCGGGCCAGCTCTCACACAGCTTCCCCTGCGACTCAAGAGACAACACGCTCACAATCCAGGCGGGCAGCTCGCTTCTTTTTGTCTATACCCGTGACAAAATATATAACGGGGGGGGGGGGGGTAAGGAAGCTAACCCGAGCTAACATAAAGCGCGCTAGCTTGCATACAAAGTCATATGGTTCTGATTCATACATGTAGGCGACGTGTGAGTCAAAAAGGTCCCTCGCACACTCGCAGAAATGCAAACCGAAACAAATGTATGGTGGAAAGCGAGAGTGGAGAGGTTAACGATTGATAACTCGACTGACCTTTGAAGACAGTCCCCGGCTCTGTGCAGCACAGGCGAACTTTGCGACGACCCGGAAGGAGTGAGGAGAAGCGGCCGGCACAGAGACGTGATTGGACCACGGGAGATGCGTCAGAGGATATCAGGCGGCGCATGTTGCGCTGTTACTGTCAGTGCCGTTTCTCTGTCTTGTCAACGTTTCCTTTTATGCTTTATGATAACTTTTCCACATATTATATGTCATCAGATTTACAGCCTTAACAGCCTTAATTCAGACGAAAAGTTATGGTGAAGCCTTTCCATGTGCTGGAAAAGACTAATGAGCACATTTCTGTAATGTACCTGAAAAATGCATAAAAAAAAAAACGTTGAAGGTGCAACTCTGCATGGCCCCACTGAGGCGCGCTCTACTACAGTTTACTAAATATGAGGCTCCGCTTGGTTCATAGAGTTTACTGTACAGTTTTTGTGTTGCTATTCGCATTTGCTTTCATTTCGTGGATAAAGCAGCCCGCAGCCAATACTCTCATTCTTTTTGTTCCTGCACAGAGGAATTCTTGGTCTCCCCAAAGTAGCACTGAGCCAAAGAAATAGGCTATTGCCAGCTGTGTTTCATTAATGCATGCTCAGTGCTGTGAAAAAGTATATACCCCTTCCTTTCTGCAAATAAAAAGCAGGAAGAGGTCGGATATTTTTTCAAAGCACTGAAAAATGCAATGTATGAGGACCCACATGTGCTTATATCTCAGGTTACCCCAGAAAGATTCATTCTGAGCTATGAGAAGCCCCATCTACATTTGGAGTAAACATTACAAAATTCACTTTTGCATGGGTCTACAGATGCTTACTTGGGGACCTGGATTTAAAAAAATATACTTAGGGCCAACTTTCAGGGCTGAGACTTGCACTGAGGTTGATTTAATTGTGTGCGATTCATGTGCATTAATTTGTGCACATGTAACAGTCTCACATAGTCACAAAGTCAGCTGTGCACTTTGCATACTTGGCATGCCCACTGTTAATAACTAGGATGTCCTTGCTTTAAGGTGACCCTCTCTGTGGCTCTACTAGGCATCATATAAGCAAAACAAAAAAATCATGATGTCACAAAGGTAGACACAGAGGTCCAATTCATAGGATTTGGTCAATATTAGTGAGGGGCTTTTTTAAGGTGTTTACCTTGAGTTGTTTATCTTTTCAGTAAACCTAGCTGACAATGTTTTTCACAATCCAGACTCCAAAATACTCTTCTATTCAGATTAGAACAAGTTTTTTGTGGTCACCAGAAGGTTGGGGGTCCCTGGAGTTTTTTTGTTCATCGTGGCAGGTCAGTTATCTCAATTTACTATGCATACAAATATATTTGTACAAATTTAAATCTTTTGTCTGTGTTTATGATTTGGAGACTGATGTTATACGTGCCCTCCCCCTTGTGATGTCATCATGTGCGACCTCATACTGACCTGAGGCTGTTGTGCATTTGATTATGTTAGCATGTCATTGTAATCTTACATATAAAACACTAAACTCAACACCTGGGCTTCATTTGGTATGTTGGAGACTGCACAGCTGTATGAAATTCAGCGTTCTCGTGCAAAGTGTAATATGAATGGTGCTGTGAAGTCAGCGGAAGGAGGCTTTCACTCTGTTATTCTTGGTCTTAACCCAAAAATATCTCATCATGGTAAATGTAAGCTGGTACACTGTCTGAAATGAAATCTGACATCATGATTGTCTCTTAAATGATGTATTTGCTATGAAAAATCACATTGTTGTGCTAATTCTTACTGTTTTTACCTTTTAACTGTGTATCATTATTACAAAAACTGATACACGACCTGTTTTGACACTTAAACAACAAGATAGCAGCTTCTTTATGTGTCTTTGTTTATGCTATTCTTAGCTTCTTTTCTCTCACATTCATTCACTTAAAGCACAGCACATGTAAACAGAACAAATCCTCTATTTCTCATACACAGTGATCATCTGGTTCTCTTTATCAGGACCACAGAGCGGGATGCATTGTGGCTGCACCTGGTTCTCATTGTATTTCATTTCACCCTACAGACAGCTCTTCTAATTGCACTGACAGCCTGCATTCTTCCATTGTCTTTATTTTGTCCCTATTCTCACTAAATTCCATTTTTGAGGCAAAGAAACTTGTGCAAGAATATTTAAAGAGTCATAACTCTTCAAAGCATGTGTTTTTCAGTCCATCTGACAAAAAATTCTACCTGTTGCACTTCCTCGCTATGTGCAGTAGATCCACTAATGATTTGTTACAAATGAAATTACATATAAAATACTAACAATGTGCAGTTTTCATACTTATGTGGATACTTTATTTATATAATATAAAAAATTGCATTTGATTTATCGTACAAAACATGAAATATTTGCTCGTTTTATAGAATAAGGGCAATAATTCTAGAGTAAGCCATTTATAGTCACTTTTATTAGGGAAACCTGTTCAACCTCTTTTAATGCAAATATCTAATCAGCCAGTCACATCACATGGTTATCACTGTATTTAGGCAACAGAAGACTGGAAAGACTACCTGTTCTGATGAGGCTCCATTTCTACTGGAACATTCATATGGTAGGATCTGAATCTGGCATAAACAGCCTGAAAAGCATGGATCCACCCTGTCAGTTTAAGCTGTTGGCCATGTAATAGCATGCCAGTCATGTCAATGTGGACCAAAAAAACTCCAACGCCTTGTTCAATCTACACCACAAAGAATTAAAAGGTGTTCAACCCAGTAGTAGCAATGTTTACCTAATAAAAACTGCCCAGTAAGTGAACATAACAATAATTACTAAGATCACTACTAAGAATGCTCTAAATATTCTGCAAAACAGAATTTCTGTCACCATTTCAGTGATTATGTTTGCATTTGAAGAGATCTGGGGGTTTATAGGTTCAAATTGCAGCTATTTCAAGTCAGATTTGGAGGTTTTAATGAGAGGAAGGTGGTTGTAAGCTATCTAGCTTTGTTGTTTTTAAGCTTTGTGAGGTTGGAGAAAGATGAGTGCTTTTACCTGACAGAAGGCTATTGCCCTGTGAGGACATTTGTCTCAGATTGACAATTTTGAACTGGTGTGACCTTTTCTAGACATCGGCATCTGCAGTGTGGTCTTGGTTATTTATGGTAATTGCCATTTCCCATCACTTAAAAGCTTTGACTCTCCTGAACAAATGGCTTTGGTCTGAACTGCCTGAACTTCCCAAAGTTCATGACCTTCACTGTCTTTGCCCTTTTCCTGGGAAAACCCCATCTCTCACAAATCATGTGTGTGGTAACAAAGTTTGTGATTAAAGTTCATCCTTTTGTCTGACAGATAGTGACATATGTGTAAATCAAACATGCTGAATACAATGAAATTTCATCTGGTGAAGAGATTCAAACCAAAGACAATGTGTGGCGCCAATTATGCAACAATGACTATTTTTTGTGGGGTGTGTGTGTAATAGTATGGTAGTGTGTGGGACAGAGAGGGAGAGAGAGTTTTCTCGGAGAAAATGCTTTGAAGTTGCAGAAAATTCCAGGAGTTTCCTGTTAAAGGGTCTGGGGTTTAATTCGATCCAGGAGTGTGTGTCTGTGTGTAAGGAGAGGAGTGTCTCTCGAGTCAGTTTCTCTGCCGCAGAGAGACGTTAACACCACGATAGTCTTTGCTTTTCCCTTTCCTTTACAGATTCCAGGTTGGATCCACCTGTTTTTCACCATAAAGCCTTCAGCGGAGCGTTGAACTGGGATTCACGCTATTGTTTTATTAACTGGATACTTTTTTTCCCCTTTTTTAAAATAACTGCACATCACTTCTAAACAAGCGGTGGTGAAAGCAACACTGCACATATGTATTTTTACTTCAGATGAGGATTTATGAGCTGCTAAGCAGTTCCAGCTGATCGCCAGACCAATTTATTTGCAACATCAGTGAGGATGTCTCAGTTTTTTACCTCACACTATCTGTTGCTGATTGCAGCTTTGTGGAGCCTCAACAACCTGGGTTTGCTGGCTGCATGGCAGGGCTTCGGTGACGGTAAGCCAAAGGAACTGTTGGACCCAAATGTACGAGACTGGGGAGACTACTCAGACCTTCCTCCTGGAATTGAACATGGATTAGGGCTGGAAGAAAGCAGAGAAGATGGATATAACAGAAAAGTTGGAGAGTCATCATCAAGCTTGGCTCCAGAGATGGATTTCCTGGCTGACTTTGCAGGTAAGAGGAATTAATTGACCAGCAGATGTTCCTGTTCTTATGTCCCTACAGTCACCGATTTTCCCTTGCAGGTAAAAAGCGTCTGTGGGTGATAACAGCTCCATCCCACAGTGACCAATATCTTCGTATGATGGAGAAACAGCTAGAAGAAATGGAGCAAGTACTTCTCTGCAATTTATTCTGATACATACACATTATTTACTCTTTTTTCAGATTTAAAAAAAAATTTAAACTAGCTGCTTATCCATCAATTTTTACTTGTTTTATTTGATTGTTTCTTTCTCTGCCTTACTCAGAAAGGCCTGAACTGCCATTTAGCAGAAAGAGATACGTACATTGTAACTATCATTCAGAATGCTATGATGGAGGGACGGATCCAGAAAACAACTTTTCAAGGAGATGCCACAGTCGAGAACCTGGACCCCGACACGGTTACCAAACTGCTGCACTACCTGGAGCTTACCAGCCAAGTAACCAGTGTGCCATAAACTGTGTGATTCATTTCAAACTCTTGGCAACATATAAAAAAGTTATTGCCTTTTTAATTATTTTTTAAACTGAAATGCTTCTTGGTGGTTTACTAGTTGATGTGTTTCTGATTTGTGTCGAACACCAATCATGTCAGGAGCAAAAGTTCACCATGCTGGTTATAAAGAAGAACCTACGGGTCAGCGAGCGCTTCCCTTATCCGGTGCGTGTCGAGGCCGTTTTGGAGGTCATCGATCAGTTCCCCATGAGGAAGCTGGAGAAGATGACCAGAAAAGGATCTCACCTCAGGTTTCACTACCTTACTTTTATTTTTATGTGATGACTAATTTTAAAGGTCCTATATATGATGATCATGCTTCCTTTTCAGCTGTACACCGTGAAATGTTTGTCCTGTTTAGCATCAATAATTCATTTTCTTCCACTTACACAGTTCAGGGTCATAGAGGTCTGGAGCCTATCCCAGCGGTCATGGAGTGACAGCCAGGATGTACCCTGGACATGTTGCCAGTATATTGCAGGGCTAGCAGAGAGAGTCAGACAACAATTTACTCTGACATGCACACCTATGGTCAAGTCAACATCACAAATTAAATTAATGTAATATTTCTGAGCTTTGAGAGGAACGTGTCAGAAAGTTTGCCAAACAGTCCTAGACAGGCTCCTGCAGTGAATTCAGAAACAATAAGTACAGAAGAGTCACAAAATGTGCAAGGATATTTGTACCCAGTGCAAAACAATTATATACAAGAGTTTCAGAGAGCTTTAGACCATTATATGGCGTACGCACACAAATAAGACTAGCAGTTACAGAGACTGAGTAACGGTTGTCCTCCTTCCACCTGGAGGCTGCTGAGTAGTTGATGCAGGTAAAGAAAAGTCTCATTAGTTTATCCGGTCACTTAAGTGTATGACCGCCTTGCATTCACCGTCTGATGATGAAATTGACGTCACTCAGATCAGAGTAGTCTCTCTAGCAGACTCAAGAACACAGAAACTATAACTCACCTATAAGCAGTTGGGCACTAGCTTAAGTCAAACTCACTTCTGAGAGACTGAATTAACTACCAATGGGAAAGAAGGATACTATGGACTAATAAGGTTGGAAAATATGCAAGACTAATCTACACAACCAGAATATTGAATATCAAATGCAGCAACTGACAAAGCGATGGGGAACAAGTGAAGCGATTCATTGGTGAACAGGACGTTATTCCATGGGCAGTATCTGCTCACCAGACTTCCTGCTAAACAACTCCCCCTCATTTTATTTTATTGTATTTTTTTTTTTACAATCCCTGACACTTACGTTCATCAGTTTAAAAAAATGATGATTAAAAACAGATAAAGATTTCATAGTTTTCCAAGTGAACACACATGTGAATTTTTTGTTTTCTATGCCATGTTTTAGATGTAAAACCACCAAAAAGAAGATTGTGAAAAAAAGAAAAAAGATGACACTTAGTCCTCAGAGGAGAGGAAATGTGACTTCTGTGGTGCCATTACAAAGAAGACCACCTTTGGACAAAAAAGCTGCTCTGAGGAGTAAGATCCAGGATATACTGAGTGGTCGGTCGAGGTTTGTAATTCGTAAGCCGTCTACAATGAGAAAGCCTTCCAGCAACAATGATCCCATCAATTCTAAAGTACGGGAGAAAACAAGGGTGAGCAGTCTTCCATCTGTTTCAAGGAGCAATGAGGAAGTAAAGAAAAACAGGTAATGTCTTTTTAAGTTTGTATGTTTTGTTAGACTTTGAAACAGAGTGAAGAGTATGCCTTTGAATGTTTTGATTTGTGTTCACATCTGGTATTTCTTGCCTCCTCTTCTGCTTACAGCACATAAATACTGTTTTTAGTACTGGATGGACATCAAAGTGACTTTTTTATATATTGTATTGCAGCACTCATCCATCTGTGGAAGAAGGAAAGAAAAGAAATGTAGAGAAAAATAATGGAAATAAAACTGGTCAGAGTGGAAAGGGGAACAAAAAGGAAAAACAGAGGTCTAAGAAAATAGGCAAAGGGAAAAAAGGAAAGAAAAGAAAAGGAAGGGGGAAAAAGTCCAACAGAGAGGCAAGTGAGAAGGATAAAACAGCGCTGAAGGAGTTTTTGGACAGTTTAAAGGGGACAAGAAGGTTGATGGTAAGACCTTTTGTCTAATCGTTGCACTTCTCTTTGCCTCCAGATTGTTAATGAATTTAAATCATGTGTTTTCACGGCTGTACCTGAACCAATTTTCATGTTTTTGTTTTGCCTCATACAAGGTGATCTCAACACCCAACAGAGAGGCAACACTGTATATCCAGCAGACTGAGGAGAATGAGAAGTATCGCTGTGAACTCGCTATAAGGAAGATCACAGTGGCAACCATTACTGGACAGGGAAGTGATGGCACACTTATAATTCAGCACTACCACCTAGGTAGGAAGGGTTTTTACCTTTTGTTGCCAGTTATGTATTTGCATTTCAACATTTGTTTAGGTTCTCTTCATGAATGCTTTTAAAACTACAAATCCTCTCAGGGTTCACTGAACCAACACGTATTTGGTTTTGTTTTGTTTTTTACTAACATGCAACCAAAGGCAAATATAGTGCTTCCTAGAAACTGAGCATTAACAAAATTGTCCGTGGGTGTTGACCTATTGCCAGCTATTTTAGCATGCTAACAATAGCTAACGGTAAAATACACAGACTGTTTATAAGCCTTAAGGTTGTTAGTAAAGAGATAGCCATCTTGGTATACGCCTTATGCGTGTACAGACATGGATTATTAATAAATTAATTTTAACCTTTGGTCTGAAGTCTGTTTTTAGACACACTAACCCTGCGCATGAATGTCATAGTCATTCTGATATTTCAGTTTTTTGTTTTTTTGTTTTCAGTTATTGAGGGTGACAGTTTGGGTCTTCTTCCACATAGTGATAACACATCTGAATGGCACATACTTACAGTCATTTAAGTTAATTATCTTGGAATCTGCAGTTGTTTAGAAATGGCTTCAAAAGGTTTTAATTTAAGTCTCCTATTGTCTTTCTTTAATCTTGACTGAGTTCGTTGGACTTTCTCATTGTTCTGAATATTGGTCAATCCAATTAGTGGCATCAAACAAATTCTTTTTATTCTGGAAAAGAGAAACTACTAGTTGTAGTCAATCAAGAACCTAATAGGTCTTGGCCTTGTCAAGTTAAGACAATGTAGAACCTTCAGCACCAGTTACGCTGAAAAGCCCTCAACTGCCATGACATTCGTGGCCATGATGAATGTATGTAAACTTTTGAACACAATTGTTTGTGGACTTGTTTTTGAAGAACTGTTGTTTCGAGCCTTCGATTAATATTTTAGCCTAACTCCCATATGTCGCCATATTGGTACATCATTTATTAATAACATATGGTTGAAGGTAAAGTAAGGCAGTTCAACTTCAGAGGGACATAACTTATCCCTCAGTCACATAGGCCTAGAGACGTGGCATAGCAACCTCCCGTCCTCCGGGAAAAATGTGTATTCCATGATTGGGTCGAGAGTGGTTGCTAGAAGTTGTACAGAAGGCGCTGAAACTAAAACCTCCTTGTGATCACTGTGGTTGGTAGTAGAGTTGCTGCAATGACAACATCTTCAATGCAAACTGTTATCAACCAAAGAAATCATAAGGAGAGTTTTGGTGCAGCACCATATTCCTCTTTGCCACCAACATCACCAAGCGATTGCAACCACTTGCCAACCAGTCAGGGAATATATATTTTCCCCAGGAAAAATATATATGCCAGAGGGTCACCGTCAATCTGTAGACCTGCAGGACTAGATATTTAAACATGCATTAAGTGATTAGAGAATGCACATTTTTATCTGGAGGCTGATCTGTAGACCTGTGTGAGCGGGCGCCTTACTGGACCAAATTTAATGCTAACCTAATCCAGTCAATGTGCGTTGAGACATTTAACTCAAAACTACAAAGTTCAGCCTCAGTATGACGCTGAATACAAAATCAAGAGCACAACAAAGTCAGTGGAATTCATCATCAGGGAACTAACCCATACAATACACAGTTCCCATCAGCCATAAAAAAGCAGATAGTATCTAATAAAGCATATAGCAATACACAATAATAAAGTGAAGTGGTTTAGTCAGAATAACATAAACAGCTCAGGTTTACTGCTAAGCAAAACGTAGTAGTTCTCTGAACTTGTGTACCAGGAAGTAACAGTTTAATTTTGCACTGCGGAATGTAGTAAATGTTTAGTTTAACCTTTACACTGTGATATTTCAGTAGTTACATTTTAACAGTTAACACAGTAGTCCCTTTCCATAAGAGGACTTGGTGAATATACACAGCCAAACAAAAGCCCTGTGTACTTACTGTCTTCAAGTTCACACATCGTTCAGAGACACTGATTTGGGATATAGTGGTTATAGTTACTGTTTTTGTTGCATGCACTGTAACGTGTACTTGGTATTTTCTCTAACATCTGTGTGTGCACACATTGATTTATATCCTTTGTATGTGTGTTCTCCAGATTCAGAGCCTCCACTCAGTGGCCAAGCAGAGCACTTCTTGGATTTAGGGGCCATCTCTCTGCTGAGGGCAGAGCTCGGCCTGTCGTCGCCCGACCTCTTTTCAATGACTGTCACAGATTATGACATCAAGGCCAGTGTAAGAAAATCTCACCTGAGTTTTCCAAGTTTGGCCTTTTCTTGCTTATTTGGCTTTATGATAGCAGATAAGTTTAGCGATTAAAAGGACAACACACTCATATTTCAAAACCATTGCAATATTTGAACTTCAAGTAACCCATCGAGGAACCCATTATTTAACCAGGTAAAGATGGGACTTTGATGTTCATAGCAACAAATATTTCTGGCACAACTTCACCTACTTCCAGGGTGCATGGAGAAGACAAAGTTCTGATGACTCCAGCAACACTTAAAGTAATCGGGAACAACTTTATTATGTGACCAAGTGTTGGTCACTTAATAACTTTGACATTCACCAAAAAAGAAAAAAATTGTAAATAATACAGTTGTATCGCAATACATTTTCCTTGTTGTTTAGTTGCTTATGTATGCCCATAAAGACTAAAGATCTAATCCCTCACCTGCTCTTATCCTTCCCCCCCAGAGAGTCTTTGAGGCTCCACCATCAAGCCAGGCTTTGTTTGACTACATTGACAACTTTCCCTCGAGGAACCGAGAAAAAGAGAAGGAAAGAAAGAACCCACCAGCGTGCTCTAAAGACATGGGACAGCCTGTAGTAGAAAACCCACTGCTCAGGTAATATAATTAATCTGTTTTTATTGCAGTGAGCACCATCCACTAAGAACAAAACAAGCTCAAAATAAATTTGAAGATTGCTGTAAACAGGGTCAGCATATTTTAATCTCTCCGTCACCGTAAATTATCAACAGTGAAAAAACCCATGTGGTTAATGCGACCTTTTTTTAGTGGAGCGTGGATCTCTGAAGCTTTCACAGTCCAATCTCCTATCTTTATCTTAAACCGTGTAATTTTTCTTCATGTTCGTCTTTATTGATTCCTGTGTAAGTTTATGTTTGTTTCTATTTTATTAACACAAATCATGATATAAAGTGTAGCATAATTCAAATTTGAAAACTGAGTAAAAGTATGATTGAATCTATGGTCTTCCATTTTATAGAAGGTGGTCTAATGACTGAATGAAACTGACAGGTATCCAAGTTTAAATCTATATTTTTCATTTCTAGGTTCATTTCTAAAAGGAGACTGCTGCTCATCTCTGCTCCCTCTGAGGATGACTATTTGTTTCAGCAGCAGCTCTCTGCTGTCAGAGGACAGGAATGTCCCCTGGGTACGTGTTTTAAAAGACCCGCGGTAACAAGGAAGTGTTACAAGGAAGCCAGAAGTCAGACATGGGTAGATTTGTCATGGTTGTGAAATTTGGGCCTGAAAAAGCATACCATTAAACAAAACTGTACAGATCATGACAGAATCAAACAATGAATATTATAATATGAATATTAGTGTATTAAAAATGTTATGCATTTATAAAATTGTGCGGTACAAGAGCCATATTATTTGAAATATATAACCATAGCTACACAGGCACTTAGCTAAATAGGTTCATCGACACAAAATCATTTCTTTGTCTTTATAAAAAAGGATTGTTTTGATTATCTGTGCTGAATGTGTCCCTTTTAATGAGTCTAAATGTACCTTCTCTTGTGTTTTTCTCAGGTATTCGTCACTTTGCCATGCTAAAGCTGATAGGAACAGAAGAAAAAGCATCAGGAACTGTTGAGTTATTTCCCTTAAATGGTACGTCATGGTAATGTGGGGCATTCCAGGTGTATGAGACGTAATGGAGCATACACATTTGAAATCATTAGTAATATTGTATATTTTAAGGTAGGTAGTTTAATAAACATTTTGGTTTAAGAGCAGATTCTTTGTTTAAAAAAAAAAAGAAAAAAGATTGATGTGGCTTGCATGATCTAACAGGTTTTGTGGACTGCAAAAGGCTACATCTGTCAACAAAAGGAAGCCTGTAGCTGAGGAAGACACACTCAGTATTTATATTCTGTCATGCTGTCACTACTGCTAACCTTTTGCCACATGTAGATATGTGGTTTGGCCTGCACAGAGATGGAGATGCAGTTGGCAGGTGTAGTCTACATCAGTGGTAGGGAACTCTAGGCCTGAAGTGCCGGTGTCCTGCAGGTTTTAGATATCACCCTGGGTCAACACACTTGAATCAAATGATTGGTTAGTTACCAGGCCTCTGGAGAACTTCAAGCCATGTTAAGGAAGAAATTTTAATCAGCTGTGTTGGATCAAGGACACATCTAAAACCTGCAGAACACCGGCCCTTGATGCCTGGAGTTCCCCCTTCATTATAGCAAAGAGATCTATACAGCTGACCAAAAATGATCCCAATGGATAAATAGCAATACATGCTGCACAAAAACAAAAACGCGCTTTTGATTAATTTTTTGACTCCTTTTTGTATGTTTCCTTTAAAAATGCAAAAATAAAATCAATGTCAGCACAGATGACACAAAGGGGAAATTTAGCTGCAGAGGACGAAAAAGTTTCTGTTCCAGGTAGTAAAAGTTTATTTTTGCTGTAAAGTCGAGCATTTCAACATAGAAGTATATGGGACTCTCTCCCTTTTGGAGCCTAGAGGAAATGCTTTTGAAAGTTTGGTTTTGACTGTGGTTTTAAGGTTGAGCTGTCATAATATTTTATCTAATCTGTACGTATCTGGGTTATCCTAGTTTTCGTTTCTTTCGCTTTTCACTGTTTTGTTTAATTTAAATGACTTCCATTCTGTCATCCTTCCCCCAGGTCGCAGTCAGACTGAGGTTGAGTCATTGACGCCTGACTTGGTCAACAATATGAGGGAACAGCTAAAGATCGATAAGGACTATTTCAGCATGGTGGTTGTGGGGAAGGATGGTGACCCCAAAACATGGTTTCCATCACCTATGTGGTCCCTGGATAACATCTACGACCTGGTGGACTCTATGGAGCTCCGCCTCCAGGAGGCGAAGCTGCAGAAGAGGCTGGGGATTCACTGCCAGGAGGACAGAGGAACAGGAGGCAATGAGCAGGAACACTCCCACGGATACAATGAAGAGAGGGCAGAGATGATGCACTTCTACAGCCAATCCGAGGAATAATGACAAAACAAGAGGAAGAAGCGATTATCTACCTAAATTTTTTAATATGAAACAAAAAGTATCAACATGTGGATTTGACTTGAGCCAATGAGACCTCAAAACTGGACTCATAAGAATCGATAAAGTCGATGTATAGATGATGATCTGCTGGATCGTACAATAATAAGCTGGATATTTTACAAGAAATAAATACATTTGAAAAGATAAGCAGACAACAATGGCGTGGTCTTATTCAAGCATTTCAACTGCCCTTTAAAAAAGCAATTTTCTCTTTGACTTCATATGTAAAAAGGGAAGAAAGTAATTTCAAGACAGAGCAGACGGTGCTTTTTACTAATATGTCTGTCTAGACCTTTCAAACACATCCACTGTGCAAGTACAAAAAAGGAAAGGTTCTCTACTGAAATATGCTGATACTAAAACGAATAAAGTATTGAAATAGAAGAGAAGTTCTTTTATTTAAGCCATGACTTTTTAAAGAGCCGCATAAACCTCGTGGTCAGTAATACAGATGTTAACAAAAGTTTTACATGAGTTCTTCACTTGCCTGCATGGACTGATTTCTTGAATTCAGAAGTCCTAACACTGAAAGTTTAACATCGAGTTGTGACCAGAACATGATATGACTCATTCATCCAAATACTAACAAACAAAGCCATCGGTCTTAACCAAACCAGGATCCAGCAAGGGGAATAGCAAATGTTTACAATGAAACTCATGTCAGATATATCCTGAAGCAATGTTTAGTAAAATCAACACAAGAAGAAGATATGCAGGCTTAGCTCAGAGCAAATGCAAGTGTCCAAAATAGCAAACACCTCACATGCAATAATATGGCTCTGCAATATTGACTCTGCAAGTGCAAAAAGAGTGAATTAAACCTTTAACATAGAGGTTATACATCACAAAAGAAAATAGAAAAGAAAGTAAAAGCATTTTTACTTTAAAAATGAGGGTTGATGCTAAAGGTAGTCCCACATAATATAACAGATGTGAAGAATAGTTGTAACATAACTATGATGTGTAACAGAAAGTGAATGTACAATAAGTTAAACAATAAGTCTAATCAAAACATGGTACAATATAACAAAGCAAAAAAAGTGAAAAGAAAAACATCCATCACACAACTGGCTCTAAATTCAGCTCTGGCCTTCACCTCAAAATGTGAATTATAAGTAAGAAGAAGAAGAATGAAGGTTGAAGTAAGACAGAAAGTCACTTTAAACTGTCTCTGTGTCAAATTTGCATGCTGACATAATGTGCCTCACAAATTCCAAGGAAAAGGAAGCCAGGTCGATTAGAGACCTTGGAGAGAAATCCAAATAGTCCCTTTGAGCTTCCACTGACAGTGGCGTAACAGACTTTTACCAGGAGTGACCCCTCCTGACCCCACTGACCACCAACCGGACCGGTTGGTGCGAAAAGAAACAACAGACAAACACAGCAGGTTGGTCAGGCCTGTAACCACAAATACAGAGAATGTCAAACACAATGGAGGAAGGGGGACAGATAAGAAAAGGAACAAGCAAATTACAAAACATGAAAGGATGCAACAAGATATGCGTAGCCATCATTAAAAATACTGTCTGTCCAGATTTTACAGCTTGTTCTGATTCCGGGTACAAATTCTATGTTGCATGAATTTGTTTTAATTGTTACTACAAAATAAGATAGAAAATGCCATACTGGTGTCCACTAGGGGGCTGCTTAGCTCTCTTTAGGGTTAATGAGCCTCAACTGGTGGAGTTACTCAACTTTCACATAGAAAGCCTGTGTTGACACTTGTATTTTCAGCTCTTTATACAGAGTGTGTTCTCAGTTCTAAATTGAGCTTATTAGCTGTTAGCATGCTGAAACTGAAACTTCTCTACAAATTTTACTTATCACTACATCTTCTCATTAAATTTCGGTCCACCCAGCTGTAGCTGTCGCCTGCAGTTACATATGAGACACTGGATATGCAGAGTAATAACCTAGCTAATAAAGACTGGCAAAAAAAGAAGAATGCTAATGCTGAAGGCAGACAATTCGTGAAGTGGCAGACTACATAAATTACTTCTTCACCCTTGTCATGGTTGGCTGTGTGGCAGGCAAGCAGAAGTGGTGGACCCAAAATTGCAGGACTCTTGGAGATGGGAATAAACTGAAAACGCAGCTTTATTGCTGGAGGAATGATTCACAAAATAAAACTTACAAAAACAAAACTCTAAACCGAGGTGCTGTAGGACAGGGCATTACAAACACACAGCAAGTTGCGGGTACAATGCGACACTGACACAGAGAAACACAGGGCTTAAATACACAGATGGCAGTAATCAAGGGATGAGAGACAGGAGGGGAACACACCGGGGAGAAATCACAGCTGACGAGACAGGGGAAACGTAAACAGAGCACACTCACATACTACACAGACCTTCACAATAAAACAGGAAACTCAGACACATGGAACCAGACAAGACATTGAACTAAACAGACAGATTCACAAACAGACGGGGTGACACCATAGACAGACAGAGATACAGACGCAGACTCAGAGGCAGACCGAATATAACACGTAGAACTCAAACAATAATAATAATCATGAGAATAAATTGGAAAATGATAATAATAAACTTAAAGCGCTGGGTCACCGACCCAGGACCATGTGCATTTCCTACAAGATTATTTGTAATCATCATTGCCATTTTTGATCTACACACCCACAACAAAACTTAAGCCATGAAGCGTTAACAGAGGTTTTCTAAATGAAGCCTACTATAAGTATTCTTTTAGTGAAGCTGTAAAGCTCACTTTCTCACAACAGAAAAACTGTGCGCATTTGCAATTCTTGAATCCTAACATGCAGCCAATTTTCATGTCAGAAGGCTGAATAGTGCATGTAAATAACACCATTTTCTTCCATAAAACCACTGACTTATCATTTGAAAACATGATAAGATTAACCTAAAGTGTTCTCACATACTTAAAGATAAGTGTGTGAGAACACAATTGCATAAAGTACATGAGGCCATGTGATAAATTCAATATATAAGTTTGGCCCTTTATGTGATTGTCATTTACCAGTTTGCCCCTCTGTGAAATGAACTGTGGCACCTCTGCTTTAGCTCAAAGCACTTCTAAGGCTTCAAAGAGCCACTAGCATGGACGTACGCTGGTCTTATACGCTTGTCTTGTCTTTGCGCCGCTCATATGACCACAATGTTTCCTGTGCTGTCTTCTAATGTTGTTCATTGGCTATGGCTTGTTGTCTTCCCGCACTGCTGACCAAAAACCTTTTCATCATACAAGCTATAACACCACTTTAACAAAGTTGCTACGAAACAGTTTTGACTGTGGCTGTTTTGTTTTGTTTTTTCATTTTGACCTGCCTCTGACTGAGTGAACATCATTTGTTAAGGACAGTGGGAAACTGCAGGGAATATGCCAGGGATAGGCAAATCAATGAGATCAAAACACGGAGATAACAGGAGTTGTGACACCCACAGTCACACAAAACACACATACTACTAAGAGAGGAAGTAGTCAGTTGTAGACAGATGCTTATGTCACTGAAAGAACGGGAGTATACATCCCCCCCTCAGACATACATGCTCAATGCTCAGCCACACTCTTTGTCATTCTATCAACCACTATCAACACTCACTATCTCAGTGCCTTTCTCTCTGTGACAGAAACAGAAACTCGCACAGAGGCACTGAACAAACACCCTCCTTTATCCACCAGCCAGTTGTTGACCAGCTCTCTGCCTGGGAAAGTCTTCCTCAAGATGGTGAGTAAAACTTAAGACACTTAAATAATTAATCATCACATTTTAAATGATTGAAATACTCTAAGTGGGCACTGTGGGTTTAACAGAAGGAACTTGCTCTTGAAACTGCGGAATGGTTGTTATGTGTGTTATAGACGGCTTATCGTGACAGGATAGCATGAGCTTTTGTATCTTTTAGAAGTCAGCCATACTTGATTATTATTACAAACTGGTACATTTTAATTTGCTTGAGCGAGTTAATGTGTACACACTGACAAAAGCAGAGTTGTCATATTTGTATTCTGAGCAGTCAACATAAGCTTTCATTCATTTCAGTGATCGTTAAAGTTAAGTAAAGTAAAATGCTGAATTAAAACCACGTGTTTAAACTCGTTAAAAATAGTTTGATATTTAAAGCATTTTTGTCCCAATTTTCTTTTCACGTACTGTGTAAAAAATGAAAAGTTCAACCTCACAGTTGGGGTTGGTGGTTCTGGGTTTTGTGTCAGTTCGATTAAGCAAGGCACCTTTGCTCTGCACTTTTCATCACACTGTAAATAGAAATCGTGGTTCCTCTTCCTCTGTCGTTTCTCAGCTGATCACTTTTCACAAGGCTTCTGTGAAAGAACAAACATTAAAAGAGAAAATGTGTTTGGAGTAACTGGTTTAGCATCCAAGACTCTGTGCTTATTATGTTATTTGTGCATTGATCCTGCACCATAACAATGGATTATTTACATATAATTATTTTCATAGCTAGAATTACATTAAACAGCTTTGCATTAAATTTATGGTTCAAACCTTTGAACCATCTCAGACAAGTATATAGGTGCCACACAAACTATGGCAGCTTTGTGTTGAGCTGTAGTGCAATAAATGGCTATCCTATCAAGAGGTGTTTCTGGTATGTGACAAAATTTGCAGGTCCTTTACAAAATTGCAACTGCAGTGCACCCGTATCTCGAGAAGAAGCAACTGCAATAATCCTGTACATAACATATTGGGCAATTTATAGCTTACCGCGGTTAAAAAACAGAAGTATTATGAGGGAACTTTCCTCTTTTTCTTTCTACCGATTTAATATTCAACCGCATTTCAGGCTCAGCGTTAACATATTTAACGCTTGATGTTACTGGCACCACTGCAGTGAAGTTCCACCCACTGTCTCTCTCAGTTTACTGAGAGATTGGCTGTTAAAGAGCATATGCTGACATTTCTATCTTCAACACTGAAGCCATGTTGTTGACAGCGGATGTACATTCACTGATAACAGTGAATGCACATTTCAGAATAAAATGTGTCCAAATGTATCAAATAAAACACCATCCACTTCTCCACTGCTGATTCAGTTCTTTAGACAGTGTAGCTTTTAAAGACTTGAAATTCCCTACATGGTCTGGTCCATGGTCACTGGTGGTGACTAAAGTCATCATCTTAAAGACTGAGACT